GCTGATGTTTTTTCTTTTTCCAGGGCTCTTGTTTCCCATGATTCACTCATTAAACTTTTTAAATGTCAACAAATTTTGCAAAGTGTTTGCTGAAATATACCGCACCCCACCAAAGACAAACAGAACTGTATTATTATGCCTGAAATCCCTAGAAACTTACAAATGAAGAAGTATGTGTGTCTTGTCAGCGCTGATCAATGCACCAATTTCCCTGGAAGGTTAGAATGTGGCCTTTATTGTTATTTCTGTTCATAATTAGCTTATTTTGGACCATAATTTAAAGTGAGAGTTATTTTTACATTCGCGTTCTTTGGTATTTTTGGACCCACAACAAAAGCTGTATGAAACATTTCCAAAACCATTCATCAGATTGAGAACAATATGCATTCCTGCATGTTTAGCAGCTGAAGCATTTTCTTTGCAGGAATTAGGTTCTTTCATGATCTATTTATACTCTTTTTGCTTAGGCAAATATACAGTATACAGTCTTTTACACCACAGTACACCACAGATTAATTGGATTCTGGGAAAACTGGTCCTCTTGTCAGTGTGTGCATGTCTGTGTCTTCCCTGTGTGTCTGCCCTACGATAGACTGGCCAGTGTGTCCAGTGTGTAGCCCATGTATCCTGTCTTGCACCCACTGCTTGCTGGGATAGGCTATAGCTCCCCCACAACACTATATTGGATACAGCGGTTAGAAACTAGATGGAACTCCCCCAGTAAACCAAGAAGCAGCTGTGTTGAAGATGGAGGTGTGGCGGAGGGCTTTTAAAACAGTAACTATGCTGAGACCCATAAATTCTCGTTATTTATACTCTAGTGTAAATGATTGGTGGGAACTGGAGATTGTTATTCTCACAAATATTCTTTATGAAGTCCATATAAATGAATGGATATTTGATTTGCAATTGATACCGATTTCAAGTGATATGAAAGCATGTGTGGGACTCCCTTGGATGTACTGTACCATCAGACCATTTTAATCTACACTAACTCCACCATAGACACTGTGGCCATCATCTTGCAAAACACTAGCAACGTGACAGAATTTGTTTTGCCCACAGCTCCTCTCTTTCTGCTGCAAGGATTGTGACAGTGATGAGAGGTGGTTAACAACTGGTGATTCCAAACCAGGAGCCAATTCCAGTCTCAAACGAAAGCATCCTTTGTTTTTTGATTGGTTTGAGAAAACATTTAAAAAAATTAAAAATATAACAAGTATGTATGACCACAAAAAGAGGAGAAGATGAGGATCACAGTTAAAGAAGTGCTGTATTCAAGGTATGAGACAACCTCATAGTGGAAATGGTTTACATACCATTATTTCAAAAACGGTGCTCTGGAGAAGACAAAAATACCAAAAACCTGCAAAACAAAAAGCAGAGCACCGTCTTGAAAAATATTTAATATCTACCTTTTTTTCTACCCTCAGCTTATGGACATGTTCTCCATATCTTTTTATTTCTTGTGACCAAATGTTTGTGCATTTCCTAATTATATTTTTCAATGGTCGTTCAGTTTCGGAACGTGAAAAGAAAGCAGTGCTCTTGCCAGCTGTCAGCATTTGAAAATATGTTGTCAAAGCCAAGCACAGTGTCCACATTTGCAGAAAATAATTTGCTCGGTAATTACTGTATCACTAAGTATAGCACCTGTGGCACGCCGGTTATAGAGAGATGCTTTTGAAAGCCCTGGTGGTTTGCATATGGGCCATTGGCTTGTGAGGTCTGACAGTAAACCTACTACTAAGGTTAAATCAGCCTAAACGCAAGCATAAAATGACTGCTTTGTGAGAGTCAATTTCCTTACCACAGGCAGCAGTGCAGAGTAGTGGTTAGGGCTCTGGACTCTTAACTGGGAGATTGTGGGCCCAGATTTGGGGCGTGGCAGCTGCTTTCGAGCCCTAAAGCAAGGTATTTTATTCAGCGTGCTTCAGTAAACTGTAATGCACAGCTGTAAAAGTGTAACGCCAATCGACGTGGATAAACGTGTCAGGAAATAAGTTCATTAAAAAAGGGCCAGAGGGCTTAGAACCCTGCGTGGACATTTTGATTTTACACGTTCAGAATGAAACCCAGCCTTTCATTAAAACAGCAGCTTTTCAGAGAACTGAAAGGGCTGGTATTACCCTCTGTGTCCCAAGCGTTTCATCAAAACACAGATGAAGAGAGTAAGGCCGGTTAAGGCTAACTAAAAACATATAATCCCACAGCAGTTTTAAAAAGTCGTGTTCAAAAGTAGCTCACTCTCTTATCTCTGGTAACTGTATTGTGTTTACCTCTCTAAGATTCAGTTTTGCTCTTCTGCACCCAGAGTTTCCCCATTCAGAGATCCATCTCAAGTCAGGGTGAAATGTATGTCTGGCTGCCTGTATGACTGTGTTGAGAAAAGCACCTGTTCCAAAATGTATCTTTTTCTCATACTTTCTCATATATTAACTTTCAATTTAACGTTTTTGTGAAGTTGCTAAATGTATAGCATCACAATCATAAAGCAAATGAATACCTGTGACCTTGCTACATTGTCCTGATGTCTGGTTGTTCTTATAGCTATTATGTTTTTATCTTGTTGTTGTTCCACCTTAACGTGTACCAAATCTGTTCAAACTGACTACTGTTCCTAAGCCAAATGATTTTTGCCATTGGTTAAATCTATTTTGTGTCCTCCTATAACTTTCTGTCTCAATGTGAGTCATGAGAACTTCTAAGAATTTTGTTAACAGTGGCTTTTAAAGAATTTAATTTATAATGCCTTCTCCTGCATTTGCTGACAGCTGTGCCAAAACGTCACAGTTAGGTGTTAGTAAAGCCAATACTTGGTAGTGCCACAAGCAGACTAACCAGACAGAATACCAAAAAGCATCATGAAATAAATGCAGGGTGTAATGGGAACATCCAGTGGTATTATTTGTAATAGTTTTTCAAAATTGTGTTGACATATCTGAATGATGAGGCACTGACAGCTACACCCTTTTCAAACCTATAATCGTGCACACAACTATTACAAATTATTATTTTGAGACTAAATTACTACTTTTATGGGGCAAACTGACCACATTCTAACAGTAACTTTGTGCTTTTGCAATATGTACAGTATTAGCATCTGTTGAAATAAACAAGAAAACTATTACAGTAAATATTATTGTTTTTAAAGGCAGCAGACTGTGGTTTGATTGATGAGTTCATAAATGAATTCATTTAATATGAAGATACCTGGAACTGAGTGGCTCAATATCAAATGAGATCTCTGCCATAATTGTGCTGCAGTCTCATTGTGAAGAGTGCCAGTCTGGAAATACTGCAGGTGTGTTTAAAAAGGTGCAGTAAGGACACATCTGAAAGAAGATAACTAATATTTGGGATGAAAAGAAGCCACAGCTTCTACATCACTATCTCCAACTCTAAAACACCCCCAACCCCACTAGTAATACAGTAACCTTTAGGTTTAAAAAGCTGGTGTCACAACTTCCTCGTCCAAATGGTCAGACAAATGTCCCTCCAGCCAAGCTGGTTAAAGCCTGACTGAATAAAGATATTTCAGATGTTTCTTATTCCACAGTCACATTATTTGGGTTTGTCTGTATATTCTTAAATAATAAAACGTTGTGCAGGCAGCTCTTTAATGCCGTGCTGCACAAATCTGAAAATTCAGTTAGACGTTTTTCGGTTCGAAGACCTGATAGGAATTCTGTATTTTAATAATATTTTCAAGAGATGAGCAACATTCAATCAGAACTACTACGATTGAAATGGTTTCTAATAAAAACCTAAGTCGAAGGGTTTTATTACGATCAGCTGATCTATAACAAATCTTCTCTAAATTCCTCTAGAGGGCACTGCTTGTATAAAGGAGTCACCGCGCTTCACAAATGAGTAGTAAAGGTACAAAATGCATAGAATAAGTTTCATCACAGAAAGTGTACTATTCCTACATTAAAGTCGTTAACACAATACAACCTGGGAAGTTAGGGACTTGAGTGTGGATTATATATATACTTATTTTGAAAAAGTATTTTGTAAAAATACATGGCCGCACTTTACAGACAGAATACAAAAAAAAATATTCTGTTCAGTTAAAACAAGAATCACAGAACTTGTGAAGCTGTGAAACTATGAAGAATCTCAGCACAAAACAAAAAACATCTAGACACTGGGATCTTTCGCAAATACTGTTGCTGTATAATACTTCTGACCTTCAAGCATCGTTTGATTTGCTGTTGTTTAACTTCCCTTCTCATATCAGCTGTCCTGAATTGATAATAATGGGAACCAATTCAAATTCAATTAAAACATATAACAATTTGTAATGTTCTGTTATTACCAAACTATGAGATGAAACATTACATTCGGAAACTTTCAATATAGGATTGACAGAAACAAGTTAAAATAATCGTCTACCTTCAAGAAGCTAGCCTTCTTTAAAAAACGGTCTCTGGTGGTCTTTTTTAAAATAATTGATTAAAGGAATGTCCCTCAGCCTACACAGTGTTTTTTTATAAAAGTTTGAACTCTGGACGTCATTAGGCAGAGATAGATTTATACTGCACACAACTGGTTTATTTTTAGCTTCAAATTTTGTTGAAACTTTTAAACGCCAATGAAGCAGACACAATGAATATCAGAGTTTAAAATATCTTACTGACAAGGAATTTAGAGGAAGTTTATGACTACAATAATAATGAAGCCAAAATTAAATAAAGGTACCTTTTAGGTAGTCAGCTAGGCTCTTTCTAGACTTTACGTCTATTCTATAAACTGCAACATTCAATCGTTTAAATGCCAATACCTATTGGCAATGAAACAATGTGCTGCCAGCCAGCTACTGTGTATTCCACAGTCCACATTAAATGCGCTTGAACGCATAGCTTTATTAACCATGTTAAAGAAGGCTTCGGGTCACCGAGACAGAAGGCGGCAACAGATACAGCTTAATAAACCTGCCCCTCTTTCCAAAGATCTGCTACACGAGAGTCGTCTGCTTAAGAGTGCAGGGGAGAGAAAAAAACAAAACATTGAAAAGTTGCGCACACCTCCTTCCACGCGCCCCCTTCGCCCTCCCTGTTTCTCAATGAACTGGCGAGGCTGGAGCCCTCCCACTTCGTGTAAGAGCTTAATTGTCTGGTTTTTGCAAAAGCCGGGGGTACTTAAAGAGCTGCGTCGCCTCATGTCTGGCAGGAATTCTAACGTCCGCGTCCCTAGCGCGCCTGGAAGACCACAGCTTGTCCGCACCGCCGCTCGCCGAGATGCAGGTGTCTGTCGCTCTGTTGTATTCGAGCGCCGTGCTGCTGCTTCTGCAGGGCTGCTGCACCGCTGCGCGAGCATGGAAGGTCTTAAAAAACGATGCAACCGAAGTCATCCCAGAGTACAGTGAAGACGCGCAGCAACCCGAGCCCGAACAGCAGACCAATAACACGATGAACCGGGCTAAGCACGGCGGAAGGACCTTGTCCGCCAACACACACAGTTATGGTAAGGAGTTTTTCCAGAATGATGGTACCTTAGAGGCACTGAACAGGTTATTGAAACATTAAAGTTACCAATACTGTTAAAACCGCATCCTTGGTCTAGCATCCAATTAGTAAGAAGAAGAGCTGTGTGCCTTAATTTGCAACTTCTTTGGAAAGAATAATGGCTTTTTTTTTCCCACAAAAAGTTAAATGTTTGTTTCGATGGAGAATTGATTGGGTCGCGGCGATCTGTGCTAGTATTTGGAATGCTATCCAAGAATCCAATTTCAGGAGTCAAATTATTATTTTTCAGAGGTGTTCCAAAAGCTATGACTGATTTCGAAAAAAAAACCCATGTAGAAGGAAGATTCAATTTCTGACTATTTGTTGTAGCCCATTGTCGCAACACCCAGTATCAAAAATTGTTGTTATTATTGGAAACGGTAACAGATATTATTTGTTCAAACACGAGAGTCGCGCTTCAAGAAGTCTTCATTATAAAATCTTGCAACACATATTCTCCATTTTATATTCTTCCAGTTTTCCATGTGGAATTGTGAATAACCAGGCGCGCTCAGTTGCGCAACACCTGTACCGCTGCGCTTTTCTCTGAACCAATTCTGACCTGAAGCATCTAATTCTCCTTGTCGCTGATAGATTCTGCCTGCTCGGTTAAATAACTTTACTATGCATGTAATGCATTGGTTTATATAATAAACCATCTTGGCAATACTCACACCTTACCTAGGGTAAGTACCGCATATAAGTTGGGAAGACGCATTGACACATCTTTATGTAAGCACCCTGTCTCAAACAGAACCAGGGGATGTGACAGGTCAGAGAAAGTACAACTCACCAAACACTACGGAAAACTATACCAACACCCTTATCAGACGGAACGCCGTTGATGGTATTGAGCGCTTACAAAAAGTAGTGGACCTCCGTTAAAAAAGAACGGCAAAATTTACAGTATATCCTGTATAACGTTTTATTCCTTTGGTCTTTGGTATTCCGTTGTGAGGCATTCTCTCGCCGTAACGGGGCCAGTAACATTCGTGTTTCCCACAGTAAAATGATCCTGGAATAATGCTAGTCTTACGCTAATTAAATGAGGCTCCTGTCTCTGCTTTTGGGAATCCCCCATACCTGCCAGCTTTTCTCCGAGCTCTCAATTGAATTCTTACCTAAACTAAGAAGTTGCTTGACCTTAACCTGTGAAAGTTTATTTCGTACTAAAAAGTAGGAGATGTCAATTTGCTTATGAAACGCAATAGTTAAAATACAACCTCCTACATCTTCAGTAACTGCAAGCAATTGAAGAGTTCCAATTACTGTACATCTGTTATAGGTTCAATGAAGTACCTGGGAGCTCAGCTGAAATAATATAGTATTCATTTGGGTCCTGGGGACCAGGACTGGACTCATCTTGATGTAGAAGGACTTAACTTATAACTCACCTCTTTAAACAAAACTAAAAAAAAGTAGTTTTTGTTGATTCGTAAAGCATGCCAACAGCAAATACACAAAGGGTTTGTGTATTTTAAGATACTACAGTAAACATAATTATATGGCCCAGCAGAGATGCAAGTTAGCAATTTAGTCCATTTTCTGCTCGTGCAGTACTTCACTGTGACACACGTACTGTAAATGAGGTTTCCGTTTTCATCTAACAATGCGCTGTTTTGTTTCTCAAGCTGCTTCGTGAATCTTAAACTTTGACACTAAAAGTGCAACCAAAATGCACTGTAATCTGCTGCCACGGGCATCAGAACATCTGCCCTCTTTAGACACCTCGGTCTTGGCATGAGTCTCAGGCATGATTTAAAACAATACAGCTCCTCTCAGTACATCTGCCTTTTTGAGCAATAATGCATGTTGGAGTTATAAAACGGGCAGTGATTCCAGGAGCCCTTTTCGTTTTCTTTGCGGTGTTCTTTTTTCCTAAATGAACCAAAGTCGGCATATTCCGTTTTTATTCCAGAACTGTTTAATTGCAGCAATAAGGTCCAGAGCGGTTTGAAAGGCTGTGCTTGAATACACAGCAGGGGGGTTTCTTCAGGGTAAAAACTGCAATTTCAACAGAATGAGGGTTTGAAAATGATTCCCACCTGTGAGATATAAACATGACCTATTAAGGCAGCTGTGTATTTTTTGTTAAGAGTCTTCTTCCATAAAGAGACTCTTAAAATCCCACAAACAGCTTATTGTTCTGCATACTGTATGATAATATAAAGATTTCCTTACATCCGAGAAATAAAGACCTTATTGCTTTAATGTAATACCAATTGCTATTGCTAAGGTGATCTTGCAAGTATTGTATATGTACTGTTCAACATTGGACCAGCATGTTCTAGAGGGGGTACAGGAGTTGAAGGGAGACATATAGAACATTGGCATGGTGTTACAGTGGTTAGCAGTGCTGCTTCGCAGCTCTGGGTCCCTTGGTTGAATTCCTGTTGAATTCCTTGGGTGCTGTCTGTGTGGAGTTCATATGTTCTTTTCTGTGTTCACTTAGGTTTCCTCCAGGTGTTCTGGTTTCCTCTCACAGTCCAGACACATACTGGTAGGGTAATTGGCTTCTAGGAAAGTTGTCTCTGCTGTGAGTGTGTGTGCCCTACAGTGAACTAGTGTCCCCTCTAGGGTGTATCCTGTCATACCCATTGCTTGCCAGGTTAGACTCTGCTCATCCGTGCCCCTAGATAAAGCAGTTAGAAAATGGATAATTGATTAATAGAATTGATTAACACTTTATAAAGAAAGTAGACATTCTTAACATTCAATACCCTTAATGACGGGGATGGTCCAGCTTATTACCACCAGTGGGGTCTTCTTCCTGCAGGGTGAATTGTAAATTAGATTATCTCAGTTACGTGAAAGGATAGAGAGACAAGAAAAGTAAAATTAAGTTACAGTAAAAGGGGAAAAATTGGATTTAAAGTAATTTTAAAAATTGGATAACATGCCAAGGCAAAGAGGCCAAAGGGAGTTTCCAAAGCACACTTAAGTAAAAGCTTGGGAATCATGAGTAGAGAATTAGTCCACAGAACAGTAACACCTAAAATAGAACTTAGGTAAAAGCTAAGGTTTGCCTGTAATCTTTGTACAATTCTATTCCGGCTTCTCTCCAGATGTATTTAAAATATGGAGGGTGGTGTAAAATATTTAGCCCGCTCTGTAACTGAACAGGCTGTTGTTTATTCCCCAATCATAATCAGTCTTAAATCAAAAGCAATTGGCACCAATGTCTGTTTTCTAAATTATCTGGAGAAACATTCTTTGTGACACAATAATTGGACACAATATGTAGTATGCGGTAATCTGATATATAAATCTAAATAAATGTCTCATCCAGTAAATGTCAGTGCATTATGTGATTGTCAGAGCATTTGTGCACGAGGTCATTGCTGAGTGCAAAGTTCCGACTGACACGCCCATCTGCCTTTCCTTGTTGAATAAAGGAAGATAACCTTGTGTTTTTACGTGACAAAGGTATAATATCAAGTTCATGAGGCACAGAAAGTTTTGAGGTCATTGTAAACAAAGCTTTTGTGGTTTGCTGCAAAGACGCCTACAATAGAGAGGATTCTGACAGTAATGCGATCTTTATTGAGTGTCATTACTCTGTTATACACCTAGGTGTCAGTATGGAAATGAGGATCATAGCAGATCTCACAGTCTTTAAAAACGCCTTTTAAACAATTTCGTTAAATAACACGGACAGACAATTGTATTTCAAATTGCTTTTTTAAAAAAATTCCCATTGCAAAACCTTTGAATTGTCAAATTCAACTTTGCTTTCAGACATTGAGGCTTAGAAATGCCTCTGCAAAGTCATAACGTTGTGCTTGTATAATGAATACCAGAAATCATTATTGATGGAATAATGTAATGTGCTTAGAACAATAACAATCACTGAAAACTGAATCAAGATGATGTATTTTTACACTAATCATCTGATTAAGAAAACACTATACACTTGATTTGTGTATGGCTAGTAAACTGGCGTGATTTGAAATGTTGGCTGACTTGGAAATTCTTAAGTCTGTGTCGAATCTAAAAAACATTTTTTCTTTGCCAAAGACCTTCCGCTGATGAAAGGACAAGAAGTTACACAGATTTGATTTTGCATGGTTGCTGAAGTTTTGTTAGATAACGTGGCATTGTACTTAATTCTTAAAGTTGCTGTTTGCACAAAACATGTTGTACTGTTTCTAAAGCATCGTACTATGAAAATAAGTTTGTATGGACCCAAACATGTTTATTGCTTACAAGTGGCCCATGATCTCTGTTAACTGCTACCTGGGACCAAGGCAAAATTGTTTTTAGCACTGTAGCTCAGAATTGATTTGAAGAAGGCAACAAAAGTATACTCATTTGAGGTAAAAGACAACTATCTTATCAGTTATTAATAATAAAATATGGGAAAACCGTGACAGACAGGGATTAAAAATCAACCCTGATCTTAAAAGCACGCAACTGACCCAAATGTGGGTTATGCAGGCTATCATGTAGGCTTTTCCATTATTTTATTCAATGGACTTTTTTAAGATGAAATATATTTATCTTCTTAGTATTGCTATTACATAGTGCTCTATGAAATATAAATGTTTAAATATTAAACAGGGCTTAATTAATATAATTAAGCAGAGTGATTGTAGATAACAACCAAATATTTTCTGTTATTGGGGCACAACTAAAGCTGTGTTAGGTTTAGGATGCAATGGACTGGCTAAATTTGGCCATGTGATGTCACTTGCCCATTTGGACCAGTCCAAATCAATGTGAGCGGAGGAGGAAGGAAGTTAGAAATGCCAAATATGGGAGCTAATGTTTATGAGGGTGTAAATAAGCGATGATGTATACAAATCTGAGGTACTAAAAATATTTTACTATGAAGGACGCATTGTTAATTTGTTAACTGCAGTAGTTGCAGTTTTAAAATGTCTTCACATGCACTGACCCACCGGTACTGTGAGTGGGCAGACCCATCAGCGCTTGGTAGCCAGTCCAGCCTAGAGCTCAACCCTTATGCTGGAGTGAGACCCTTTACTGGTGCCTCCTGCTGGTAAAAACATCATTCCTTACACTTGAATAGCACTGTTCTGGACACTCCACTCAGAGCGCTGTACAGGTAATGGGGATCCCCTCCACCTCCACCAGTGTGCAGCCCCACCTGGATGATGCGATGGCAGCCATAGTGCGCCAGTACACTCCCCACACACCAGCTCTCAGTGGGGAGAAGAAGAGAGTGATGAAGCCAGTTCAGAGATGGGGATTGTTAGGAGGCTGTGATTGGCAAAAGCCAATGGGAAATTTGGCACGAAAAAAATATTCTCAAACTTCTTTGCTTCACTCTTGCCATTTTTGTAACCATTTGTTTTGTCTCTAAATGCCGCAGGAGCGTCCGAGCTGAGCTGCAGAGAGCTGCGCTCCACGCGCTACATCACCGACGGGCCCTGCCGCAGCGCCAAGCCAGTGAAGGAGCTGGTTTGCTCGGGACAGTGCGTGCCCTCCCACCTCCTGCCCAACTCCATCCTCCGCGGCAAGTGGTGGCGGCACAGCCACTCCGACTACCGCTGCGTCCCGGCGCACTCCCGCACCCAGCGCGTGCAGCTGCAGTGCCCCAACGGCAGGAGCCGGACTTACAAAATCCGCGTCGTGACGTCCTGCAAGTGCAAGCGCTACACCCGCCATCACAACCAGTCCGAGGCCAAGGAGGCCCCCGCCAGGCCGCGGCGCAACAGGAAGCACACTCGTCAGCCCCAGGACCGCAGCAAGACCAGCAACACCCCCGAAATCGGCAACTCCTACTAAGCTGGCATCACACATACCCTCTTGATCGCCAGCGGACAGAAGTGGAGATGCACGGACGCCCCCAAAAAAGGGGACGGACCTCGAAGCAGTGTGTTGGACGTCTGTGACGTACATCGTGTTCGCAATGCACTAGAAACTTTCCCAGCGTTCTTCAGACTTTTATTAGCATGATCTGTTGTCTTCATAATTTATATCGGAAGAGTGGACAGTGGGAATGTTCAGAAGGAGGGGGAGGTGACACCCTGGTAGGAAGCAGGTTTTCTGATGGAAAGAGCTCGAGAACGCAAAACCTGCGTCTTATTGGAAGAGACTCTGCAGCCGATAGAATTTCCACCCCTGGTAAAATTGAACTTTATGCAACAAAAGGTCACGCGTGCTTGCATGAAGTAGGCTGTAACCCCCAAACCAAAGTCTTTATTTCTGGTGTCATTATTAGAATATTGTGATACACACCCTCAAGGCTTAGCCTTGTGCACTTCTTAATTTGCAGGCATTTTGCGTTTAAAAATCCACAGTTTGCAGGCCGCAGAGTGAGGCCTTCCAAACCACTCGTCCTGTACACACTCCAAGAAGCGCTTCCGTGCTGTAGGGTGGAGTGCCTGTCAGTGTGGAGGAGCAGGGAAAGGGCTTGGGCTTTCACACTTCTGGGCCTGTTTCAGTGTTGCTGTCGGCCTGTCAGCAGTCCCCCTTGCGCCAGCTTATGTGCTGCTAGAATCAGGTCTAGAAGGAGGGGGAATATACACCAGCAGACAGGAAAAATGAGGCATAGGCCTCACAGAAGGCAGCTGTGCAGAATGGAATGGAGCTGAACTGTGACTTGTTTTAATTACTAAATGATCCCATTCCTGCTTTAGGATATGAGTCATCAAAAGCCTCTAGCCATAATGAATTCCTGTTTGTCACCAAAAAATAGTATCTGCACAGTGACTTGGTGGGGAAATATCCTCCCATACAGTATGTATGCAGTGGAGAGTCTAAAATATGGGCACAGTTCACTGATCTTGGAATGTGAGGGCAGTTGCTTTCAAGGGTTTTTGCAAGCAGCGAAACGCTGGCCTGCACAGAACAATTTTCGAGAGATCTTGCTAATCTAGACTAAGTGATGACAGTGGGCCACAGTGTATTTCTAACTGAACGGTCACATAATAATGTGACCTTGTTGGTGTGCATTAGAAGTCCTGTCATACACTGTTTAGTGATGCTGTAAAATAATCACACTCATTAGCAAACTTATCATATACATGACGTTTGTTGAACTAGACCTTCTACTTTTATAATTTTCTTGGGAGTTTGAAACTAAATCCTTCATGGTGTGGGTAATCCCCTATGAACCCAATGAGATATGGTTGCAATGCCAAATTATTTCAATGCATTTTTTCTGTCCAATGATGTCCATTGGAGCTTTTTTGTCTTACATAAAGGAGAAATAAGCGTCTTTTGTGGACAGCACCATTATTGTACTTAGCCTATTAATATGGGAAACACAAATACAATAACTACATCTGGCCTTAAGACATTACATGAGAGATAAGGCAAAGAATCATTTTTACAATGTAGTAGGCATACAACAGAAACCATGACATTAAAAATTGCCTTGATAAAAAAAAAGTCTAAATGTATTATGTTCAATGTACCAATTTAGCTAACAGCTGTACATTGAGATGACACTTCCTCTCTTCTCTGTTTTACTGTGGTCTTGACAATACAACTGCGTCCAGTTTTCTCAGCATGGACAAGCTTTTGTGCAGAGTGCGAGGACTTTTCTCAGCAATGAGGAATATTAGAAACTTCCTTACATTGTCTGCGTTGTTGTTTTTATTGCTTCCTGTTTTCTGTTTTGCAAACAGTGCTGGTTCAGTTTATTGTTGAAATAGCAACTGGAATTTCTTCATGTTGGATAAGTTGCCATTTAAAACTGGTTGTTTGCCATAACTATGTATAGCCAATTTGTACATACTGTACTGGTGAGGTCTGTATGAGCCATGAAAGTGGCTAATGTCAGTGTTTCCTTCACCTTTTGTCAAAATGTTTTGTTACAAAGAATGAACTCTATATTTATTTTTTTTCTCATTTAAATTATTTATGCAACTTTTTTTGTAGTTATATGATAACTATTATTGTCATCAAATTATTAGTGAAGTTTAAACAAAAATGAATAAAGTAGTGCAAAATAAATTTGAAAGAGACCTTTCCCTTTTTCCTTTTTTCTCTTTTTTTACTTTCGATTTGATAATGACTGACTTATCAGTTTGTTGTCAGCATGACAATAGACAAGGAAGTAACTGTCCAGGAATCCCCACTGACTGTCTGCAGAATCATTCACAGAACACAAAACGAGCCGCTCTCAACAGCTGAGTCTGGGTATTGCCAAAATTAATCACATTTAAACATTCTTTTTGTCGGTGGTGAGGTTCATTCATAATTTCAACCATTCAACACTGAATTTCCAGATAGCAACTGTTATCCTACCTAGTGTCATATTGCTCTTTAATCATGGCTTTCAGTTTCCTGTAAGACATTTGCATTGTCTGCATTTCCCAGTTTTTCATATTGCCAAATGCCATTTTTCTACCATATTAACTGTGCACTTCTAAAAGTATAAAACTTGTGTGTTAAAATAAACACCCCCCAAACAAAATCATTTACAGTCCCCATCATGTACTAAATGATAATATGGGAAGTCAACATCTCCATGCAGGTGTGTACAGCACTCATAACTGTTTAAAACTAATTTATGAGAGAGTTTATACTTGCCACTCATCAGTGAAACTTGGTTTCTTTCATGTTAGCATGTGAAGCAATACTCAAACACAAAAAAACAATTCAAATGAGCAAAACAAAAACAATGCTACATGTTATCTATTTTCACCATATCTAACTTTGGATATTTGATCCAAATGCTGATCAGATGTTGCAGCACAAAGCATAAATATTACCTAAATAAATTGATTTTGACAAAGCATCTGTCCTTACTTCTCTTAAAGACAGAAGTTAAGGCCACAGACCCACAGTCCTACAGATTTAATAGTAATTATATCTCAATTGCTTGCTGAAAATTAAAAGGGGGGCAGTCAGTCAATCAAGTTATTAGTTCAATTAAAAACAGAAATTCCACATAGGACAAGCCAATCAGAAATCATTCACAACAGTCCAATGCAGCTCATCTAAAAATTATAATTGGTGTCTGTCTGTGTCTGAATGAAACAGAGGCACTATAGGGTACCTGCCGGACAGGGTACTTCATCAGGCTTCACTGTTATAATGAACAACCACATATGGTAGCTACATTCTTAGTTGGGTGTAATTAATGTTCTGCAAAGATTTATCCCTTAGGAGATATAATTCTATGGTGATCTCCTACTGAACCTTAATCTTTTTGTTTTAAGGTGGGGTGGCACAAAAGTTAGCTTTGCTCCTACATAGCACTGGGACCCTGGGTTAAATTCTGGACATGTGGGGCTGCCTCCATGAATTATTCCCTGCTGAAAACAGAAGAAAATAAACACGTTTTGGCTGCAGCCTTCTTCTGTATATATTATACATATGTTATCTAAAACCAAAATTGGTGATGACACCAGATGACAGTTCTCTTATCCATTGCATTTACGTTTTTAAAGATTTATTTTGCCCACACCTGAGGTTCGTTGACCTAAAAGACGTTTAGAAGAAGGTCAAAGCAAAATTAATTGACCTGATAGTATCTTCAGTAAAACTGGATAGTTTTCGAAGTACACTTGGGTCTTGACACAGTTTGGCGAGCATGATGGTCTCCTATAAGTCACAGAGTCCAGAAGAGAGCTAGCTAATGTGGTTATTACCATGAGGAGTGCTGAGGAGGTCATTTACCCAGTCCTGTGTAATAGAGTGTGTTGGCAATAACCAAGCTAAAGAAGTGAACCTTGAAAACTACAGAAGACCTGGTCTTTATGGATAGCAGTGTTCACCACTGTCTAGAGAATGCTGCTATATCTGTTCTGAGCCCACAAGTCACCATGATCAAATGCCAGCAGAGGCAGAGCAAAGCAGCACCAATCACACCTGAGCCTTTTTAGCCTTTCCAACAAGACTCAGTTTTCAACCCACATCTCAATCTCTAACTCCACTGACTTTACAGCTCTTTAATTTTTTAAGAATGTGGGATTCTGATTGCTGGCTATGTACAAAAACCGTATTAGCAATTCTAAACCTCAGCACAACACAGTTTTCAGAGTATATGGGCTTATCAGATTCCTTTGAATCTACAACCTTCTAGCATAGATCAACATACATAAACTTATTCAGGATCACTGCAACATCTGTAATTAAAACCATATGCTCACATACCGTAAGCTTTTTACTTTGCTTATTAATGTTATTTTTCTTTGATGACCTATTATCAAAATTGTTATTCAGTTTACAGTACTATACACAATCAGCAAAGGCAGTAAGACACAAATTATGCCAACATTCTTCATACAGACTGGCACACAGTTTTCCAAGTACCAAGGGACTGTCAACACACAATACACTGAACCTCCGCCAAAGACAAATGCTAATGTTTGATAACATATATCAAGTAACTGCATTAACATTAGAACCCCCATGGCACAACCATGTCATTTTAGTTGCTTGTGGTTTTTAAATTCAATTTTCTCAGTTCATGTGACACATATGGGACTGTGCATTCCTGTTTTTTTTTCTTTTCAAATACATTAAATATTCTCACAAGGCAAGAGATGTGAGAGTGCAGAAATGAGGGAGATGTATTACATTATATTTAAAAGCCCAGAGAGAGGTCAAACTAACTGCCACAGAGAAACCAATTGCATTTTGATTACAAAGAAAGGTATTCTGCCTGATTATTCATGTTTTCCAGTCCACAATGGGTTTAGCTGTAATTTGATTTGTTTCTACTTTGTGTGTGAGTAGTTTATGTGATCTTATCAGTGTCCTGGAGGAGCTAGATGCATTTTTACTGTTGTTTTATATGTTTATGGGACATATGGTTCTAAAAGCAGGCCACCAAGGGTCTTGTTATAAAGTACATAGAGCCTGTCTTTTTTTCTGCAAAGATGAACTTGTATTCCCCCCACATTTGATAATTTCATTTTAGATTTTGATTTGTAGAGTGCATTTGAACATGTACTTCTGTATAATATTTAATATGCTTTGGTTGTCCAGATTTATACTTTCTGTCCTTTATAAAAATACAGCTGTTTGGCTCCTAGGTATAAGTGTACCTCCAGGTCACCTAGAGTTAGTGCTGCTTGCAGGATTAATGTGTCAACTGCTTAACTGCGTACCACCGAAGGAAAACCTACAATGGTGTGTTTCAGCTGGTCTTGATTAATTTGCAATTGAAAATAAAGACTTGTACCCTCTGCAGAACGTGTTGGGTTCATTCCCGTTTGCAGTGATACAGATTTGGATTGACATATCCCAGTGCTTAGAAACAACACTTTTCCAAATGATCATTCTCATGGTCGACCAGCCAATGTGTTGCACAACCACCTTGCAGTCAGCCAAGCACTTTGCAAATGGTGAAAAATACAATAGAACATCAAGGAGAATGTCGGGGATTGTGGATTTTTGTTTTGGCAGGTTTTTTTTTGCTGCAAGTTTACTATTAGAGAATGGTATTTTGCTAACACTAACATACTTTATTTTTGACACCGTAGGATATAGGAATTTTTGCAGCAAAAACTTTGTACAGTGGATTTTACTTTACCTTCACGATCACTATGGAAGAAAGGGTGTTCTTGTTACTGAGCAAAGTGTCAGCACTGAGCACCATCTTCTGGTTTAAATTAACTGCTACATGCATTTCATCTGAGTTTGATCTCTCCAGCTCAATCAAAAGATAATGCATTAATATTACCCTGACAGCATCAGGATCTCTTGGTGATATAAAAAAGACAACATGCTTAACTGTCCCTAACTTACTCATGGGTGCCAATGTTGAAGATAGAGACAAATAAATAAGACCAAAGTTGACCAAAACAGTTAAATAGCCAAAACTTATTTCTAAAACATCGACAGCAACCACAAAGGCTGAGCTTGGAGGCTGTAAGCACATTATACATCTTGATGGTCATAATTTGGCATAATTCAAAGGAAAATAAAACAATCTAGCAAATTAGAGTAAAACAAATAAATTGTGCACGGGGAAGGGAATGTTTTAGAAATGCGTTTGCAGGGCGGTGCAGTAATTATGTCTCGCCAAGAGGCTGTCCGCAAAAGAGGTGCCAGCAGGGCGTGGTGATCTGGCAGCGGACAGAAGGTTTATTTTCTTAAAAGATTAGCAGGAGTCCAAGTTAAATAGACACCTTTATCACGTTCCGCGTGCCAGCCAACACAAGAACAGCCTTGCAAGATTCCATGTCTGGAGAAACCAAGGAGATGCAATAAATAAATGATGCCAACTGGTTACTGTATTGGCTCAGTGCCCACCATACTGTATACTGGAGGTGCATAACAGTGACAGCACAGACTCTCTGTTCTCTTAATCCATAGTCCTTTCTCTTTACATCCAACACTTCCTACCTTAAGGATACAAAGCACTTAGACTCAATTTTTTACCAGTGTTTTGACTGACACAAAATGGACCTTTCCCCCCTCTTTTCTTGCCTTTTGTTTTTAGAAAAATAGCAAGATAATTTGAGATAATTACTGTATAGAGATTTATTTTTTTAAAAGAAAATGGCCTGAAGTGAAACTGTGTTTTTCAAAAGGGTTATTCTTGGGCAGGGTGGTGCACAGTCAAACGAACGGAGGAGAATTAGATGAGATCCGGTTGGGGAATTAGTGATGATTGCAGTGTGGCACTGGACAACCATTCATTAGACAGCAAGGATGAGGACTAGGTAGGGTAGAACAGGGCTCAGAATTTGGATTTTTGGGATGGAAAAGTTATTTTTTGGTCTGATTTAAAACTAGTCATACCCCTGTCAGCCACAGGGGATCCCAGCCTGCGTATGGCTGACAGTAGCGCCTACCCCAACAATGACTTTTGAATACGAGTCTAATCTTGGGCAGCTTTATAGCCTAGAGACAGTTTTTTCTATGCTAAAAATGCAATTAAAAAACCTTACCCTTTATTTTTAGTCATGTTACAAATATGTTATTTCTGCAAAATGTTTTGTATTATAGTGCTCAATAAAAAAACAACCACCTCAAAGGCCTAGGTATAAACTTGTGATTCAAGAAACTGCTTCAGATGCCATAGAATGCATGGCTGAGATTCCACAAGGATAAGGACAGCTTGTTGTACTTTAGCCTGAAACCTTCTTCCACTCTTAAAATGGGTTCCTTTTAAGTCCCTGTTTACAGAGAATGTGGCCAAGGCTGCCATGAGAATTACATCATCATGGACCATATTTTTTATGGCATTGAAGTGCTGTAATATACAAGTGACAGTTCAAAAAAGACTGTCTATGTTTATTTTTAGAATGGTCAAGGAATGTTAAGTTAAATACAAAAGAGTTTCAGTCATATTCAGGATATGAATATGAAGTTCAGAAATGATAAATACACAGGAGTATCTTTTTTTTCGTAGAGCACACAATGCATACATGCATTACAAGCTATAAATATATAAGAAAATTCTTTTGGAAAATCCTATGGCCATGGTTCCAGTTCTGAACCTTTATAGCTTGGAACAAAGAAGGTAATATAGGGATTTGATTTCAGCATGCAAAATCCTGACAGGTGTTAATCATGCCGGCTCAAGGGACTACTTCAAGATCAGCAATATTGTAGGAGGCTGGGACAGAAGGGGGAATGAAGTTCCGGAATATTCAAAACAAGAAACTCTTCCTCACATGAGATTGGTGGAATGTGGAACCAACCCTCTTCCAAAACTGAACAGAGTCTATAATGCCGTCACCTTTGATGAAATGGCTTTATAGAACTTTTGGATCATGAAGCTACTAAATGGAAGTTATTAACTAAGGTCTAGGAAGGATAACAACAAGTCAATCTCACACAGCTGTCCCAAATCACCTTTATTATGGAAATTAGCTCTATATATCGAACACAGACACCTCTCTTCACATTCATTTCAGGCATCCCTCCTTCATTTCAATCTGAATGGGTTTAGAAACCCCTCGTCCTATGGCCAAACTTATCTCACCAAATATTCCAAACATTCAATTCCTGCATTTTGTTGTCCATAGTGAAC